CTATCGTATCTATAATATTATATTGGTATGGATTTATTCTTATATAATACAATATAAAAGATTTATATCTTGCTGCATTAACAAGTCTAAATGGCGTTTCTTATCTTTATTGGAACTTCCTTAGCGAAAATACTTTAAAAAATGCCATCGCATCGTACCACTAGCATAATATACAGATTAAGAACACGCAACTCTGATGGTTACTTCCAACTTCTAAGTACCTGTTCCACTAAACTTTCGTTTTCGATACTGTTACGTAATCGATTCAAATGATCTTTTTATAACTATTCCTCTTATTTTGTCTTGCCTCATTGATTGGGCTTATTACAAATTTAATGTTTATTTTCAAATATTCTTACTTGATCTTTGACATCTATGAAGTTATTGCATTTTATAACAAGCGTAATGCTTACTTTCACGAAAATGCAGATATAACAAGGAACTCTTCTTTTTTCTACTCATTTATATGTGGGATGTGTTTCACAATTGCCATTTACGAATGAGAATATAATATGGTGTACATGTTTAGCCATACTAGATCTATCTAAGTAAGGATTGAAATTAATTTTAATTGAGATGCTTTTTTTTAATATTGTAATGCTGTTGGCTATAGTTGGAATATCTTCATTGGACGAACGAAATGGAGGCGAGAATCACACCGAATCCGCGGAAACTATGAAAGCCAGTTCTGTCCTGACGAATGACAAACGACTGCTGTTTGGGTTCGAACGTCGCAATTTCGATTTCTGTTTGAAAATGATAATGAATAATTGCGGCAGAAGTCAACCGAGTATATGCATAATTTGTATAATCTATCTCTAACTCACGAGCTTTAGCATCTTAGTTTTTAGGAATTGATAGCATATATATGTATTTTGTAATATCCTTGATAGGGTATCAGTTATAGCCTATCAAGGATAGAATTTAGAATTAGGGATAGAATTGGACTTATCATTTTGACCAAAAGATTACTGAATGAAAATCAGTAGTTACGGGGTATATGTTTAATAAAGTCTTAACCTGATAATATGTACAAGAATCCTGTGGAGAGTCGAAGCACATTTTCAGTTTAGCATAGGAATATGTCATACAAATCTTACAAGAAGTTACTGGTTATCTTTGTTCTCAGGAAGACAGTACTTTGACATCGTAGTGTATTCCGAGAGGGTTATGGTCTAGAGGGAGAAGGTGTAGAGTATTTTATTTCTATTTGTGTCTAGAACTAAAATTGATAATATAACTTACTTGAAATTTTACTTTTGAAATAATGTAACGAAGAAGTATCTTGTCGATAACAAGACATTGTTATTTGTAACAATTTCTAATTGTATACCGATCACCTTACCCGAGATAAGGCCATTGTAACAGTAATCACATCTCACGGTTTCCAAGTCAAAGAGATCGCGCCCCACAATACAATCGATTTTCCTAAAGGTGGTACCGATTTGTTCTTGATGGTTCTGCTTCTATGTCAGTGAAACCTTTGTAGAAAATTATAATTTTATTTAATTTGTACTGATAGATACATACTCATTATGGTTAGTAGTTTATGTTAGATATTTCGTTGAAAGGAGTAATCTCAAATCGACTGATTGTTTTAAAGTATATATTCTTGAAAGTAATCAGACATTGACCTAAAAGAATACGCTAAGACCACTCTGGCAAATTTTCATCCCAATAATGCCATGGGCCAATCTACGTCAAAATGCACCGCCGTGTAGATATTAAAAAGGTTTTTATCTAAAATAATAATTAACAATAGACGTTGATGATTTGAAGAAGTATAAGTACATCACCTTGTCGGTCTGTCTATGCAATTTATTATGAAATATTAATAAAAATGAATTAAGATTTTAGATACGACATTTTGTGTTGCATGAACGATGTGAACTATCTACGTAAGATTACACCTTAACTAGCCGATTGTTATTGTTGCGTGGAGCAATAAATTTTATGTTCACATAAAAATGAAAGTGCTCTGCCTCGCTTTAATTGACTAATTGTATGTGCTTATTCAGTGCGAAAATATATAGTGCTCTATATAATTATCAATACAAAGCACTTAGAGATACTACTTAGGATGTCTACTATAAAGGTGTTGGGGAACGTTTCTATGCTGATAAGTCAGCGAAACAAAATTATATATTTTTTTTACTTTGAAATGAATTAATTTTTTTTTATCAATTTTTAGATAGCCTTTTAAATGGAAAAAATACAAACTTGCACTAATTTGTGTATACATATAGAATACACATTTTCATGCCGATTAATTTTATTTTACTGTGTAATTTATAGAGAAAATAACTTATGGAGTAGACAGAGAGGGCCAAGTGCCAAAGATATCATATAAAAATGTATACTTTTTTATAACTTTTGCTGCATAAATGCAATTGATTAGTTATGAATACATCAAGTAATGGCTGACGAATTAATTTACGATTAATTTGTATACATCTACAGTTGTTAATAACTTTCTTTTGCAATAACAATTTGTATAAACCTAAAAGTAAAATTTGTTGACCCATAAATTGCGATCTGTGCCGGTCTACTTGCCGCTATAATTTGTTTGGGTATACGAGTACAGAACTAACCGCGCTCTGTACCACGTGGTACCGCTAAATGTTTCACGCGAAGCCAGTGGATGAGTGGCGTGAATTTTTAATTCTTCTCGGCCTTCTTGGAATATCAATTCGCAGTTCATATTTGATTGTATTGTATGGACTCTGTTTCCGCATTTACCGTCTAATTTGGACCATTGTGCGTGAGCATGTGAGACCCAAGGCTACTAGAGTAGCCAGCCAAGCTCCTTCCAGAGACGAATTAGACTTCTGGTGTTTTCACAGGTTTCACAGGGCGACCTTACAGTTTCGTATTTAATTAAATTTATTTTTAATAAAGTTAAACGAACCAAAAATGGGAATGAATTAAATTAAATAAAAAATGATTTTTAATTTTTGATTTATGATTATTTTTTAAATTATATTGATGTATTATATATCGTTACTACTGTTATTCCAGATGGAGCATTGTCAACTGTAGTTATCACAGTGAACGTAACACTTGACATGCCTACATTTCACTGGGTATATATCAATCCAACGTGGCAGGAGGCAAGCACCGCCGTCTCTAGGATAAAATTTTTGTTTCATTGTTCAGGAGCTAGAAATATAATTTGAGTTACGTTAAGTATCTTTTTGGTGACGGTCACATTAGAATTTACGATGTAAATTATAAATCACTAGACCACGATGCTGACTGACTTAATATTAATGTCCTCGAAATTCGGTAATTATGACTAGAATGGCAATTGAGCTGACTTCTCACATAGTGGATGTAGTAACCAGTGCTTACTATCATGAAAATCATTATAAAACTTACAAAACAAGCAATAGGAAACTTCGGAACTTTATTTAATATTTTTTTTATTTACTATATATATTATATATAATAAATAGGTATAATAATAGCCAACCTAATCGTTGACTATACATTTGAATAGCCTTACGGACATCACGGTATCATACCAGCGATACCACACATTCATTGCCATTCAAGAGAACTAAGATGTCACGCCTCTTATCCTGTAATTTCTGCACTTTACCCTTTAACCGAAACCACAGATAAGACTGTATGACATAACCGAAACACATCTTACAGAGCAAGCTGCGTGGCTGCTGAAATACGGGACACAAAATCAAGTAGTACCTATTAAAGCAGGGGGATTATGTTAGACTTTGTAAAAAGTCTAACATTACCATATTTGTAAAATATAGGTACTTCTTGATAGCTATTGCCACAGTAATAACACTAGCAGTTGAAACAGAGTCTTACTGTATTGTATGTATCGATAGATGATTTGTATGACATTTGGGATGGACAATATTGTTCATATTGTCCACTTTAAACAAATTAACGTGTACTGTTAATAGAATTCATAAAATAATTACTACAGAACTCAACAACAACAACTCGTTCCAAAGAATTGGTCTTTGGAAATATTAACGTTGAGCTCTGTAACGTTAGTTTCAATCAAAGTTTATGCAGATGTAATATTATGTATAGGATATTTTTGTTGACCGCGATTCACCATTCGGAACGGACATCATGTCACAATTTTTGACGATGGCTGAGCAAGTGACTATCTGTCTCATTATGGAGTATTTCTCATTATAATTTCATCACTACCATTGAGGCATTTTCCCTTCTTTCTGGTGGACAAGATTTTGCTCTTTGTTTAGATATTTATAACCTCACTCGCTGAACCATAAACATTCCTCTGCATTCACAGAATTTATTCATCACTATAAACGCACACATAGGGTTTTGATTTTCTATATCATCATCTAATATCCTAAGATAGTTTCATATTATGATTATATTTATATTTTTAATTATATTTATTTAATGTATATAATTATAATATATGATCTAAAAAATTAAATAAAAACTATAGCATAATATTTTATACAAGTAGGTATATTATCAGGAAACCGTGGGAAACCGAAATAAATAAAATGTTATAAAAGTTGTGAATGAATAATTAATTTATATTGCATCATATGTTATATTGCATTTTATTTAAATATTGATATTCGAAAGTAAAAGAATTGATTTCTGAATTTTAATTTATTATTTCTGCACAAGGAAGCCAAAAAGTTATTGAATAACAAATAATTTATATAATCATGGTCTAAATTATTCTAAGTGTATACTAATCATATTTTAGTCAATTTAAATTAATGATTTAATAAATACTGAAGTTCGGCGGACAAGTTACCAATCCTTCATATTTTTTATGAAACATTGTAAATTGGACAACGTATCACAATATTATGTTATCTGTGGTATCACTGAATGATTGCACAAAAGGCATATAACATTAATACAATCGGTACACAGACCTAATCGATAAAGTTCTTTTGTATTTGTATAAAAATATTTCAATATAATAGTTATAGAAATTGTGAATCGAAAATCTGATATAGTTGAATATTACTCACCTATTAACCTTTTTGGTAAATATATATTCACTTTATGGTTATTGAAATCGAACGAAATTTTAATATATTCGAAAATGGAATTCAAATAGTCGTTCACTGCACTTCCTCGTTTCCGGCGCGTCGCGTTTGCGGAGAACGCTTCCGTACGACAGGTGTGCGGCGCGAACAGTTCGTGACTGTCTCGTTGAATTCACTTACAGTCATGCATCCGTTTCTGCACACCCCCTGTATACTATTTACTACGTTGTTTGTGACAATATGCTAAGTTCCTAACTCTGTTTGCATATTGTTGGCTGTGTTAAAAATCAAATCCAATCTTCACTGTCGCCAGTGGTCGTCGTCGTCAAATTTAGCTCTGGCTTCGGTAAAAAAAAGTAATGATTCGGATAATACTTAATGTTACTTTTATTGGAAGAAAATTACCTATGAGTATCTCGATTAGATAGGATTCACAGCACTATTACACAGATTTGCGGATCGAGTGTGTTCCTTAAGAATGTGGGTCCCAATTACGTCAGGTCAAGTTATTGGCATTTAAATGGCTCTCATTTAATATACTTAAATTCAAAAATAAAGTAATCTCTGTTTCGTTGTAACTTATTAAAAATTTTAGAACAATAGGTATATATCAAAATAGAATATTTAGAGACGGAAAATGGCCTTTCCCTTATAAAACTAAATAAAACTATAGCAAACATAAAAAATCTATGTACTGAATGTTTAATAAATAATCCACTAATATTAGCCATTGTAGCTTACTGTTACATTTCTATAGTTATAACAATTGCACACAGAAAACAAACAATAATAATACACTAAGCCAGTGTCATGATTAAAAATTACGAATTTTTAATTATTTATTTTATTATTATTATCTTTATTATATGAAAAAACCGATCCTCACTATTCATTCAGTGGACTGACTAACCAAAAACAGTCCGAAGTCATTACTATCGGTATACTAGAAAGTTAATATTTCGAATACCTACTTAATTTTTTTACATAGGCGTCCATATATTATGTATTTCTTGGTCTACGAGTATATATTTTTTGATGATAATGAAATGGTTTTTCCGCCTTTCCGGTTTACGCTAGCGTGGTACCAGTGGAGAATGATAAAATGAGCATCAAGTCAGGTCAGTTAGGCCATCCTGGCAAATGGAAATTCTCCACGAAAGTTTCCAGGGGGAACCGCGTGGAGGTTAACCTGACATGATACATTGCTAGCAATTACTAGGGGTTACTAATCCACATTACTAACAATCCCCTTCCCCCCGATTTCTTGACATTCCCATTGGAATTGTAATATACTTGAAGTTTTCGTGTCGTAGAAGCCGCGTCAAATAATTAATAACACTTAGCTCTGTAGCGGGGTAAAGGAACTTTGTGTACGTTATGTATATTACTTTATTATAATATGCTATGGCATGTTAGTACTGGTATTTTCGGTAGAGTACGGCTTGTGGTCAGCGAAGCTCGACGAAGTCGCGCGCTGACCGTAACGTTAACCATATGCTACCGGCCAAGTGCTGACTTCATTTAAATGTAACTGTTACTTCTCAATGGTAAGAAAGTAAGTAGTGAAATTGCAAATTTGTTTATCAATGAGTTAGAAAATATGTGCAAGTGCCAACTGGCTCATATTTATGTATCGGTAGTGTAAATTAAATCGTCGCTTTTATATACGTTGTTTGCTCTTTACATGACAAGATAAGATCACAAAGGTAATATCACTTAGAATTTGACATAAACAGATATTTTTATAACTAGCTATATTCGCGCCGGTGTACTACGAGTAATGAAGGATATGAGATCAAAGCTTTCATTTACAATTCGACATTGTACATGTCAATTAACAAATTTCGACCATATCTATATGTCAGGCCCATAATCCTGCGTAGATAGGTACCCCATATATTAGCTAGATAATGAACTGGTTCTGGCACTCTTTGTGGACTAGGGCTTTTCCTTTAGTACTCATAAAAGGTAGGTAGTTTAGGTACCTCTGCACTTGATGTATCAATTGTCTGAAATACACTCAATAATAATAATAACAATAAATCCCTGATGGACTATTTAGGCTGTTAGGAGGCATTGTCAGCTATTGTCGCGTCCTGCGGCAAACAGCATAAGTGTAGACCAATAAAAAAGAAAAGATGTTGTGGTGAATAAGAATTTTCTCTGAAATTATACGTAGAAGTGTTTTTGATAAATCCAAAGTTGTTATACGATTTTTTTTAATAAAAAAAAAAACTCGTAATAACTTAACTTTGATTAACATTCAATTACAATGACGTGAAAAACTCATAATGTATCCATCTACTTAAACAGTACGTACTATGTACGTAGTTACTGATTATTATTACTGATGCGAGAGACATGGATCGATGAAGATCATGCGGGCACCGTTCTTGTCACGGCTATTGGTTTTGTATAGATAGGTATGCATATTCCATATTATTGCATAAGATTATAAGAAAAAGTATGAAAACTCGTATATTGTAATGGATTAAAATTAAAAGTCAAATTATTCTTTTTAATTGTACTTAAGCCGACATCAATCTTAAATGTTAAGGTTTCACATCTGGTCGACACTAAGGAAAGCTTCGTATGTGTCTACTTATATTCTTAGTTATTCCATCGATGGAAATATCGGTGACAAACTAAAGAAATCGGAACCTATTATAAACTTTAGTATGGGGTTATAAACAACTCCATCATTACACAAAGCTTTTGGTTCATCTACTTCCATAACACGTTTCGTGCATACACGCCAGTTCTGGAGACTCGTGACGGTCGTGACTCCCCTAATAGAAAGCACAAAATCGAACTGAGTATGATAGGTGAATGTAAACGTCCTCGATAACGATATATATATTTCAGTTCCATTAGATATCAAGCTATATAAAATAATCTTTTTTTTATTTTGCATTATGTAATTGAAACGACGGTCAAACTGACGGCCAACCTGATATGTGAACAGCGCTATAGACATTACGTTATCATATATATCACATGATAACGTGATGTCTCTAGTGCTGTCACACGATATCACTCTTGCGTTGCCCTTTCAGAGTATTAAGATGTCGTGCCTCTTATAATTTCACTTCACTGCATATCTATTCACACAATCTACAACCGGAACTAAAGGTTACATAGCAAGGTTCTTGGCTGCTGAAATAGGAGAAACTGACGCAGATGACTTTACAATTTACATCTGGTGGTTATCTATTATGTATCTGATGTTTCGTTTTTTATTAATGTGGACTACAGTTAGGTCCATATTCGTCTTTATTCATACCAGTGTAAATAAAAGAATAAATATTTCTCATAATTATTTTATTTATATAATATCTAATTAATTTATAATATATAATACATTTCAATATCGCCTCTATGACTGTCGCAGTAGTTCCATAAAATCAACACTTCACATGATAACTACGGCCCAGACGTTCAATTAAGGCAAGACTAGCAAGCAATTATACGAGCTAACCATATGATTGAGCACCATAAAAATAACAATAAAGAGTTATAATTTGATTTTTCTATGAAAACTTGAGAGCGAAAGCAACGAGGCTTGAATTTATCTCTTTCTGTTTAACAATTAGAACATTAATTTATATGTCTTGTTCTTAGAAAAATCTGATCATAATTAAGCCACTTACTTATAAAACTTAGTCGGTCTTTTTAATACATACATTCAAGATAACATATTCAACTTCATGAGGATGTTAAGTGTTACAGAGGTCCAATATTATTTTAATAGTAAAGTTTCAACTTGTGGCTCTTAAGAGAATTTAAATTAGGTTGGCGCAGTCTAGTCAGTGGATGTTAAATTTCTTAATTACCCAGTACGTAGCTTGATTTATGAATTACAAGTAAGAGGTTTAATCACTAATCATTTCATATTAGGTTGGGACTAGATGGCGTTGTATAAATTGTCCAAGATTATTGTTATTATATTATATTTACGAAGTCAACAGCTAAGGTTTTATTCGATTGCAGATATTCTATTTAATAGTAATTATTATACTATATTGTTATGTTAATACGTCCGTATTTAACATTTTTAATAATAACACAGACATTTTAGTGTGTTAATCAGATTACGAATATAACTGAAAATTGAATATGATTTATGAAATTGAATGATTTATTAATTTGTTATGACTGGATTTTTGATAAAACTGTATAACTATGTAGTTACCTTGGATCTCGAAATGGACTACGAGGAACTAATGGAATCAAATATTCGTAGTTTTCCAACGAAGTTGAATATTTTTATTTTGAGTAGGTAAAAATTAATAGGGGCTGGTTTATTTTGTAAACAATTTTAGAAATATCTTTAAAACTTTGTAAATAAATTTATAGTTTATTGCCAATATCTGACAAACTTATTAAATGATAGTTTTACTTCGAATCTGTTGATAATATAGTAAAGTAAGCTACTTTTAAGATCACCTTGATTTCGCCTTCCCATATCTATCTCAATATAATTCTTATTTGTTGGTTGTCATAATTCCGTTCATATTTTGTAGTTTTATTATAAGTTCAAGATACTATTTTTATTATATAGCAAACTCTTACATTCTGATAATAGATAAATAGAACAAAAATATCAATTTATTTATTACATATTCTGTATTTTATATATGTATTATTTTCTATACGAATCATCTCAAAATAATACTTATGATAAATTTTAGAATTACGTAATAGTTTATTATCTCTTCTCTGCTATTAACAATAAGTATAGATTTTTTTTCTATACCTTGTACTTAAAATATGCAATCAGATAGCATAAGTATAGAGTTATATATTCAATTATTTAGTAACTTTAACTGTAGTTGCGATTATTTTTTATTGAACAAACATATGTTTATTTTACGTGTTAAACTTTATAAGTGTAATAAGATTCATTTAGCTTGATATGATGCAAATAATAATTAAACCCAAATCAAAATGTGCATTACAGGACATCATACATTTATTTATATGTATTAACATTATATATAGGTACATACAGAGTCAAATTTAGAACTCTGTTAAATAAAAATATTCTTTACTTTCTTCATTAATACCTTATTTATTTACCTGTCTCGTGTATTGTGATTGTAAATAGATATAATTCTAGCAAGTGAGTCGTTTTGTTTGGACAAGCTTTGGAAAAATAATTGAATTTAATAGATATTATTACGGAAGTGTTACTAATCAAGCTGCACCTATTGTAACAATCGATTGGCGCATAACTTGGGCTATCTACGCACTTTAATATAAATACAACTATGGGACAGTGCAGATAAGAGACAAAAATTCTCGTCGAGTCCAAAAAGCAACTGCTTGACTCGTGTACTACGCAATGGAATCTGCAGTTCTTTGAGTTTTACTTTGTATATCAAGACTTGTCTCTTGTCTGCGAAGACCCAAAACATCTACGTACTTTTAAATTTCTTACCTGGGCCCATCTATGCGTCTATACTAAATAATAATATATCCATTAGATTCATCAATACATTATTTAATTCGTCTAAAATTTACTTAATTAGGTAAATCTAACACATATCCATCACAATAACTTTAGAATATCAGTTTGTCTTTCGTTCAGATTATTTTATGTGGAAGTATTTTCAATTCAACACAATTTTCTATCTTACATCTAATATTTTTTCTAATGTCATTATTAAAATAGATTTATGACTCAATTTGTTGATAAAATACTTTAGATCGATAACACATTATCTATTATTAAACAGAAAACAAGTCGGTATATTTAGCGCAATATTTAGGTATATTTATTAAAAGCTACATTAAAATTTTTATTTATATACGAATCGAATAACATATCCTGAGGCTGTGCTTTTCATGAAGGTTTTGACTAGAATTCATACACAGTGCCTATAAGAAGAAAGAATACCATATAACAGTAGTTCTAAAACATTTTCAATGATATACAAAGCATATATAATAAGATAATACAATAAGTGGAAGTAGTATAAAATGTGAAATACAAAAATAATATGCTATGGTTACTGTAGTTACTACAATATAGTCTATAGTGTACATGCGTTGCTTATATATTATTATTGATAGATGTATCGATATAGTTAATTGGTAGGTATTATCATTAGACAGAAAGAAATACATTAATATTAAATAGCGAAAATATGTATTGTATCTCAAAATATCTGTGTCTACAAGGAAAATTTTATTTCCACTTCTATCTTATTATCATAGTTTCGATAAGTATAAATACAATAAGTCACTAGGATTGAGACTTTTATTTTACAATCGAATGAATTTATTTATGATTATATATTCTGATGCATTATTGCATCAGAATATATAATCATATAAACCTTGTAGTATAGAAAATAATCACAAATTTACACAATAAATTAAAAAAAAATCTCAAACAGAAAGATTTCTGATGTTAAATAATGTAAAATTGTTATATAATGTTAAATTATTTCGTTTTAGTACTTTAATTAAATTCCAAAATGAAATATGTATTATATACTGGCAGAAAGGCAAGTAGGTATTTATAACTGTAATTTAAAATTTTAATTTTAATTGTATACTTTCCTATAAATTTTATGTTCGAAAACAATTAACAGTGAATAATTGGTTGGTACTTTTATTTACATATGAATGTACAATATTTCTTAAACACAGTAGGTACTAGGCCAAATAAATGATATAATCTATGTAAATATATATTTTTCATACTCAAATATAATATTTATTATGTACATTATTAACGAATAAAACTTCAATTTATTCTATAATAAGCAATTAAAATAATAACTGTCCTAACTTGAACTTGTCGACTTTAGAACGTTTATATATCATTTATATACACGTTATTTTATAAATGAAATAATATGTATAAATATGATAACAATTAATATAACATTTAAAGAGCTATGTTCTATGCAGCAATAGATCAAATTCTAAAGTAAAAATAGCTTGGCTATAGGCAATATAATAAAATAATGACTTTAATTTACAGTGATATAATATTATTGAATTTTAAAATGACTTAACATCTCTGAAATTGCTTTAATAGAATTAACAGTAAACAACTACTTTCAACTATCTTTGTACATTATATCCAACATGTAAATTGTGGAATGTGTGATATTCCATTTGTTTATATTTATTTCCGTAATCAATAGATACAAAGTCTGTTAAAGGTGTTACGCGAGAACGATTACATAAAATAATAAACATTTGATATTTACTGAATAATATTCATGTGAAGGTATTACTCAGAAATACAATGAGATTGAAATGAGATCGTTTTAAAATATATTTTGGCAACGATAATGATAAATTTACCGTAAATAATGATATGGTAAATTTAAAAGTACCGCGTAGCATAGACCACATTGTACATTGACGAAATTTTTTTTTTAGTTGTATTGAATGAATTATAATGTAAACAAGTAGGTTTAACTATCTTTTTTAGTCAATAATTAAATATTTCGAATTTATACGGCTAAGATATTTAAATATTTTTTCTGGTATAGCGGTATGACGAGTAAAGAGAAGGCCATTCTTGTTTTATTTTGACACTATGTAGATAAAAAAATAATAATTTGTGTTGTTTCGTTGCTTTCATTGGTCGGTTTGCTTTTTGCAATGGATTAACGATTATATTATTTCATGTTAGTTTTTTTGTTATATATAAGTTTATTAATAAATTTTGCTCACCTAATCTTCTACTGATATTTATAAAGAGATCAATTCCGAGTCAATTTTTATTACTTATAACCAATAAAGTACGTGTAAACCATTAGCAAAATGGACACGAACATACCTACATTTTTTATGATGTCTTGTACAATAACAGTATACAAAACTACAAAACTAATGAATTAATATATAATATATGAATAAAGTAACGACACAGATACCAAGTTCCTCATATATGTCACTATATAAAATATTCATATTATATCTGTCACTATGTTACAACAAAAAGTTAAGTAGGTAGTCGTGTGCAATTTGCTAGTGTTCCTTATTACTGTTATATTAATTTTCTTTGTGCTAGACACGAATTACTAAATAAGAGCTACCTTTAGGAACTTTACCAAAATGTTGAGTACATTAGTGATCTTTAATACATGCTTAATTAATGGTTTAAGCAATATTAAAACTAATAGTGACAATATTACTTATTTTCTTAATATTGAATGAAAAAGATGTTGACATGTGATACTGACAAATGGTATTGCATTTCATCGATCTAATATATAACATAGAACGATCTTTGTACAAAAGCTATTAGTAACAATTAATTATTGGCTACTATAGTACTATTTTCATTATTGTTATGTAGTTAACTTATACTATTACAAATTGTTTAGTTGTGCATGTAATATTTGATTGATGGGATAATGTATAAAAAGCAGATTGCATATAACCGTGATATTAAAATTTTAAACTTTATTAATCTATATTACGCATATACGGACAGAATTTATATACTTTCATTTATATTTATGTTATTCAGTTCTAAACAAATTAAGAGATTCTATGAATCTGTATTATCAAATTACACTTAATCTGAAAGCGGCACACAAATATTTTAGTTGATTTTATAGATTATTAATCTCGTGGATGGGTGATATTAAGACATTCGTAACAATACTTTATTGCATGAAAGAAATAAAGGACGATCAACGAAATCATACAACATACATGATAAATAAATAAAGAAAAATGTGTATTGTTTATCTCACCTCACTATTGATCGCAAATAAATTCTGAAATTACATGTGAATTCAACTTTTTTATATAAGATAAAGGATTGAAATAAATTTTTGAGCTGAATAGTACTGCGAATAAATATATAAAACCTGATAGATGGCATCACCCTTAAGTATTAATGTTTGTATCGATATAGAAGTTAGAAATTAAGCTAAACAATGAAGCTGTTTCTAATTTGAATACTTGAACTTTGTACATTACATTGATTCCATTCATTATTCTCTGCTTATTGTATTGTTAATTTTATATTATGATCATTCCATTGCTATAAATTGCCATTCCTTATTGTGCATTATTACTACAGAAATTATCAATGGCGGCGTGATTAAATGTATCATAGATTTCTAGATTTACCTACAAACGTTGATATTATGCCATATATGTTATCATTTTTAAGGATTAAAACCAACCAAAATATTTCTAGATTGTGGATAGCACCATCAATCGTCATTAATTATCAATCTTAAGCATATTTAATTATGTAATTTAGATTTAATGACTTTGATGATTAGGTGCGTTAGTAAACAGGCAATATACAATAATCTCACAATATACAGAAAATTTTATGTCTCTAGCAGCTAGATGTGTTCTTTTGCTATGATGAGTTAGAACACTACACAAGAAATTAGATTCAAAAATAGAACTTCGGCATTACAATATTTATAAACTAATATAATTTTGCAATTACATGTAATAGATTCTTAAATTGGAGGATTTAGGATTTTAGGCGACTCTTGAATAGGAACGCTCGCGGTATATTTGAGATTCTTAGAAGTATTTTACACTTAGTCCCAAAATTGTCTATTACACTATAAGGTTGTTATCACGCTATGTTGTTTGTGGGTTGGGCGGTCGCAGTACCGTGATGCAAATAGAACCTCGTAGTATTCGTAAGAGATCAATTACTTCTGGGGTCTTCATTGAAGTGACATTTTCGTCGTTTACCTTGAAAATTAAACAATTTAGAAAGTCATTATTACAAAGAATTATAATATATACGTAAATGTTTGTAAACAGTTTGAGTTCAAATGAAATGTTTAAAAAAGTATTGGTAATAAGTAGAAAACATTGTGTCATTAAGTAAGTACAGGCAGTAGTAAAAAAAAGCACTGCTAATATATGTTCTTAATAAGGTATAATAATAATAATAAGGTAAAACTGAAAACCAGCCCTGGGCGCACATCAGACCAGCAATAGCTGATTTTGTACTACAGCTGAGTGTGAATACTTTGGATAATTGTGTAACTGTATCACTGACATTTGTTGGCAATATTTAGTTTTGGTTTTTTTTTAATTCTCGTAACTATTCGGTTAATTTAGAGTTAAGGGTCATACTGACCAACTATTATTAATTAACTATGCAGACAAATTTAGACATTGTCCGTTTTACAATAACGTCTCAATTTTAATTAATTATAGAGTACATATGAAAAAAAATTTGAAATGATTACATAGATTGTTAAAATGTAGTAATTATCCTGTTAATTTAGTACAAATTACCTGTAATATAACATCGCCTCGCTGCAAACGACCGTCGCGTGCAGCCACACTGTCGTTGTAGACGGCTGAGATGTAGCTTTGCCCTGATTCTGGGTGACTTTGTACACTAAATCCAAGTCGGCTGTTCCATCCACGATTCAGTTCCACGGTCACTATCTAAATGACATTTATTTAATTAGCGAGATTAAGACTGACTTAGATATGTAAGTCATAATACCAGTATACCAAAGTCATAAGGCCATTATCAAACCTAAAATATATAAAATCAAAATATACATCTATTTTAAGTGCAGCAGTAAGGTAAGATATAGAAAATAATTACGACCTCATTTATGAAATTTCTATCTATGCTTTTGAACTTACAGATGAAATTTATATGTACATATGTTCTTTTTATTGCGGGACATAATTTTAAGCAAATTTGGGCTAAATAATTTAATTTTTATATTTGATTTCAATCCAAACGAAATGTATAAAATATTCAAAATCCTTGTAATTTTCAACACTTCCGTAGTGGCATTAGTCAACCATACAGTGCAGAATTATAACTAAAACACAAAGTCACTAAGACTAATTTAAAATTATGTTAATTTCAGTTATCTGTGTATAAATCGGTAAAAATATGTATAATAATATTATTCATATTTGCAAAAGAATTTTAGAGCACATAATCTTTTTATATACATAAATAATCTACTTACTGTAGGTTCAGTACTGGCGTCGTCCGTCAGATCTTCAGGCTTGATGTTCTCCTTCTGGACGGTATGGATATCCTTGACCATAGGCGGCGGCGGCTCCATTGTCTTCCTCTCGTTATCTGGCGACAATGCGACTCCTTTCCATTTCTTTAAGCCATTATCTAAAATAAAAGCAACGAAGCTTGATAATATTAATCTACTAATGGATGAAACTAGAGTTCGCGCCTTTCTCCGTCGTGGGGGGAGCTGTCTTCGCTCTGATTGCAAACTGGTGAATGTTTTCGCATTACATGTTGTACACAGTGCTTTATGTTTTGTTAACGCGACATGATGTGCCTATATAATTCTCCACGTTAATGTGTAATAAATAAAATAGCAATGATTGGCGGGCATATCACCGCTATGCATGTACTTAGCGAATTTTGAAAATGGAATAAGGGAGTGATCTTAAGGATCTAATTCCATACATTTAGACCTATATACCTATGAGTTTAAGGTCTAATATTCCAGGAATTTATAATTATTCGTTTACTTCACGAATAAATAAAAGAATCAGCTTTGAAATTCGTAAAAAAAAAAAATAACAGAGAAGATTTTTATATGGAAAATTGATAAACTTCTTTAACTATTAAATCATGTCTATATGTACAGGGATATTTTTTAAAATAGCTATGATAAAATTTAAAAGACAAATAATATAATAATCTAATAGAGTTTACGTAACACCAGTAGCAGACAGGTAGAAGTCAGTCGGTCAGAATTTATCTCTTTATAATATTATTATACATTGATATTATTACGCATTAGGCAATTTGCATAAAGCGAGATCAAATCTATTAATGATTCTGATCTGAATTAATGTAACGGACTAAATGAATTATTAATGAATGATTCTTTTATGCGAAAGCTTTACTGCATGCTAGAAAACTTACTGTCATCCTTATGTCCATCGGTTGTATCACTACTAGTACAGTGCAGAACTGCACTCTGGTATCCAGGATTGGAGTGTTTGAATTTAGTATCATCACTGGACAGATCTACTGGCATCGACACAGGCTCGTCCGAGTCCACAGGGAAAACTGGTTCGGTATATCGCTGCCTACTCAAATCTTCTTTATACACATTAGGCGCGTCCAGAGCGTCGTTGTCTAGATTGTTCAGCTCGTATCCATGCGGTGGCACTGGAAATTATTTGTACACTTTGAGTGTGACTTTTGAGTTTGAGTTGATTGAATAAAAAACTAGGCACGTGAATTAATAAATGAAAGAGATAAAATTGAAGATGGACAGATTGAATGAACACTAATTTACCTGATTTATCCAATACGGCTTATAAATATGACTATAGTTGAACGTACAACAAATGTATCGGATTCCAATAGGAAAATTTAAACAAATTTACTACAGGAGAGAGAAAAATGCAAGGCAACTTGAATTACGCTGCAGAAAATTATATAGTGTTTGAGAATAGTTAATACGAAGAAGTTTGAAATGTCTAATAGCTGTTGTGAAGTAATGATCAACAGGTGTTATGAAGTGTAGTGCATAGGGCGCGGCCAGTGCATTAATGCCTTATGCCAACACATTACATGCTTATCTTACAACTGTCGTTTATCACAGGATGTAACATTTACAGATGCAACGAAAATATACACAGAAAAGTTTCGTTTTTAGCGTATCTTTGACCAGAGGCATGATCGGAGCACACTTATGAAGATGCTGGTAATAATACGGTGAACTATAGCTACTGTGTGGTTGTGTACGTATTGTTTTCGCACGTCACGGAATCCGGCAGTCGTCATATCGCTGTTGCGGATTGAAGGTGTGAAGCAGATGGAAGTACGATGGGATACGAGAGTGCGGCCGACAGTGTCTCACCTGTCAGGCTTAACTTTTGTTTTCTACAAGAAGGTGGAGCCGTCGGGCTGGCGAGTGTCACAGTTTGCGCGCGCTGAGGGCGTCTCACCTCTTGAGCTACTTGGGAATTTTCCGACTGTGTTACCGCAATGGTACTCGGAACATCTGCGCGGAACATCTACCTAGCTTAGTGTGTATCGTGTCATTGTGACTGTAAGCCAGCTGTGCTCTAGTGATTTATGATAGGCGTATAAGTACATAATAGTTACATTATGTATTCCTTATTGCTGAAAGTTCTCCTATATTGAAATCTTGTCTGTATTATTGAGATGTAGAAACAGAATTAATTACTACGAAACTGGAGTAGCTTGTGGTTAATACGCTCCGTGTATGCAATATTAATACGGATTAGCTAATGAACCCAGTCTACCACAGTTAATTACTTTGTTATTTTGTCTGAAAATGCTGAACACGTTTACTCTGTATAATGTGTTGCTAAACAATAATTTGGTTGCGTTATTTGTATGGAACTAAAACTAACTCATCTACCTCTTATTAGCATAAAATAAGCAATAATGTTATTCCAACAATTGTATAACAACGATAAGTTTTACAAATAACCAATATCGATAGAAAAATTATTCACAAGCTGGAATCTGAAAATATCCTCCACCTAAAACTTTAATTACAATTATAAACATTAATTGATTTTTATTAATAGGCATAGAAAAGAAATAAAATTGTCCGAATTTTTCTATTATATATGTGTGCAGATACATACCGTTTGGCTGTTCATAGTGGTTGGTCTCTTTTGTGAGTTTGCGGAATTTTCGCGGGGACAAACAAGGCGAACGGGAGCCGTCGACGGTGTCAGGCGTCAGTCTACGTGCCGCCAAGTCGCACAGCATTGATACTGCTTCAGCTCTGTCAAGGATTATTTGAATTGAATTACTATTATGTAAATATGCACTGTTGAGTAAAGTCGGATTAGTAAATAATAAGTTTAATCTATATCCGAGGTAAACGAGACATTCTATTTAATAGGAAAAAGTATACACATTTCTAACAACACTTTGGCGCTAGGAATGAATATCTATAGCGTTAGATTTCGATGGTCGTTGATTCGATATCTGCACAAATAATAAATGTATGCTTTAATAATATATGTATTTATGAATATGTATTTTTATTTATTATGTTGTTCGGAAAGTAATTTGGTTTTTTATGACAAAGGATTTAATTGTATTTTTCCACCCAACTTCACACTTAAGCAGTATAATTTTTATATGGTTTGAGAGCTCATATAGCAAGGCTTGTGTGGCAAAAATTTCAATTAATTCTACACAGTAGGTTTTCTACTGTTTTACTACAGAAAGGGCAAAAATGCTGCTTTTAAATAAAGTTATTTAAGTAGATTTGAAAAATAATAAAGATATTTTGATTTGATTGGATTAAAAGTTGCATGGTAAGATTGGCAAGTTACTTATAATATACTCGTATTATTTTTATATTTTCTTAATGATTGTTAAACAATATTACGGAGAGCATCCGAATAATCATGTACCTAGTGTAGCTACTAGTTCGACAAAGGGCTCATTTGCTATGCTGCGTCAAGTGCACCAGCTACTTCAATATGTACATATTGAAGTAGCTACTCGAAGTAAATATTTGCTATAAAATTTTTCAACCATGAAGAGTAACATAAATAGGTACAGCTATTCGGAATCACAATACAGTCTGTTTTCATTTCTTTTAGTTCTAGGACATTTGAAAGGGCGACTAAAAGAATAAACTAAAAGACCAACATATGAGAAAGAACAGAAAGACTATGTAAAATAAAATCAACCAACTGCACTAACCACTATTTTTTGTCAGTAAGACTAGGTTAATATCCTACTCTTATTTGAAGAGACCCGTATACATTATTACCTACCTTAGTATTCGTTAAGACTGAAAGTATACGACCCTTCCAGTGAAACCTAAACACTGGATTATTATTTAAAAAATAACCTAACTTTAGGTTAGCTGTATGAATAATCCAAGACAGTAGGTATATAAATTTTAAAAAAATGTGCAAGTTATTGGAGTTATATATATTGATTTTTCAGAATAACAAAAAAAAATTATTTACAGTAAATACATACTGTAATTTACGGCGAAATTTTGATTGAAAATGTTTGGCCGCGATTGAGTGAGGGGAGACGCAAGGTCCGAATAAAGGAAGAACGAATACTTAAGAGACTTACTACTTAAGACATCGTAATTTTATTGCGCGAACAACTCCTCTTAAGATTTACTAACAAACAGATTTATTTATATATATGAACAGCACCACAGTCTTCACTTTATCACGTGACGCTCACGATACCACTCATGCGCTGCCATTACAAAGGAGATCATTATGCCACTCATTCCACTCATTCGACCACATATCTGCAACTATTTTCATATATTTCGTGGATTTATGAAAATATTTTTTCTACTTCTATAACTAATTGATCACGTCACATGTTGCAGTTTGTAGGGTTTTAGACATCATTTTCTATTTACTTCCAGGGAGAAAAAAAGTTAGTGATAGTATCCAGGAAACTGATTCCTGAATTCTGTCACTCACTTTCTAGTACCAGTATTTTTTTAGTAATATTTGAATGAGTACATCTCTATAAAAGCGGAAAAAGATTGGTTCTTGGTTTTTATGCTACTTCTTACCTAAAATTCTTGAGATTAACGAGATGCTTTAAAATATTTCATTTCAAACAACCCGTCATCACTTGACAGACTGTTGATTCATTCTTAATTAAAACTATTGGAAAACTCGGTAATTAAAAGTCCCGCATTAATTTGCTTGCTACTAATAAAGGAGTTAATTTGTCGAAAATTTAATAAACAGAGTAGATCTAAAAGTCGTAATTTGTACAGAAGCTACTAACTAGGCATTTAAAAATAAGAAAATTAGAAAGAATAATATCGGGATTTAGGTATAACTTACCATGAAATACAAGAAATATAAAAGTGAACAAAGAAGTATACAATAGCAAAGAGAACTTCCTACTTTATGAGTCGATTGAAGACAAGGTAAAACGAACAACAACAATCAAATTGATATATAGAGCGTTTTATTGTCTACCACAGATGGTAGGCTTATTACTACGTCTCCTTTGAACGAATAAGCAATCGTTTATCAATTGCCTGCACACTGTATATATCCATACTAATATTATAAATAGAAGACGGTATCTGAATGTCTATCTATTTTTTACATTTTCTCGAACAAAACACCTGAACGGATCTTAATAAATTTGACATGAAGATAGATTGCATTACGAGGATGGATATAGGATATCTTTTATCTAAACTAAGTAACTGCAAATTAAATTATATTCTGAACCTTAAAGCAATTAACAAAGGGTAAAAATAATGCATATACCTGAGTGGTGGTTTGGGCCTATTGGTTGGGCCGTCGGAATCTGTAGGGCCCTCTTCTTTAGGCGACATCGGAGAGAGCGGCGTCGCAGCGTGGTCCCGGTACAATCGTAGTCGCACTTCGGAGCCGCACGCTCGCAGAAACGCTACAGCTTCCGCGTGCGACATACTTGACATTGACGTGTCGTTGACCTGTGTGTTTATTTTGTGAGGTCAGTACACGGCAGACGTCTCGTGAGATGAATTACCTTTTATGTCATAGATATTTTTAGCAACTGTTAGATTATAATAAGATGTGTGTATATTTAGAAGTGATTACCTTCTCCGTAACCACCTGTCTCCGTCTAGGCACGGCATGTTTTGGCACTGTGTTAGGCGAATAAGTCGGATTACGTGCCAATCTTAACTGGGTACGTACGTGGGTACGTGTATTACATAGCTGAAATTACTAATACCCTATGCTATATGGTATGTGCCATCTAGTCGGAAGTTAAGCAGAGCTTGTCTTAGGGTTACTAGACAACTTATAGAATACATAAAAAAAGGCCAGGTCAATAAGATCATTCTCTTGAATCCAAATGTCTGTGTTGTGAAAAGTGGTGTGCTAAAATGCTGTAATCTAATAGGCAATATCTACAATGAATCACATATAATTACGATATAATATAAAAAAAATATTGGGTTAATTATTATAGTTGTATGAGGAGATATACAAGGTTAATAATAAAACACAATAGACGAAGAAAAATCAGAAAGAAATATGTAGGAAGAAAAGTAAATGACATTACATATATGATTCCATGCAAATTACTGAAACCTCTTTATCTTCATGAATGACAACACTTAACGAGGGTGATAATGAGGCAGCCCCTGTTGCCAACTTTGTGTGTTTTATTTCTTATTGTTGTATTATCCCATTATGCTAGTTTAATTTGTCAATGTTGGTAATAAAGATCTTATTTTATCTAATGTATCTATCTTATCTAATATATTCTGTGATGTACGAGTACACAGTACTTTATACAGGAAACTTTACCACGGACAAAACAAAATTTATTATAACTCACTTATGAGGTAGCTGTAGCTGTTGTTATTTTTTATTATTATATTATTACTGTAATTAAACACGCAAAAAACCACCGAATTCAATCATATTATAAAGGATAACTCAACAAAGTACCAGTAAGATTTGGATAAAATTTACACAAACGCCACAAGATAAACAGATTCACTTTAAAAATTATTCCCTGGTATCCTTTAAATTTAACTGCCATACAGGATTGCAGTTAACAAAGCAAGGTGCTGCCAGTAGAAAGAAGTGACTTTACATAACCTGATTACAAGTTTATTTGTTCATGCAGCCGCATAATAAAAGCTATAGTTCTATAACACTAATACTAACATAAGATATACCTCTGCTACATTCCATATTATATTTAATCAGTTGTTATATGGCGGATATTAACGGTCCAACGACTTTTGTGAATATGAATGAATCAGTCACAATGTGTGCACGCGAGTTGTGTAATTGAACATAAACTTTGAGTTAATAGAGTGCGATAATGTATAGGATATTCAAATGAGACTGAGTATTATAACATAGGTTATATTGGTTCATGAAATAAGATAGAAAATTAATCGCAACAATATTACTATAACATCAAATCAGATTTTACACTTTACAATAAATATAAAAAAACGTTGATGAGAATATTCATTAACATATTACACGGACACTTTGGTAAATGAGTTGACAATATTCTAAACTAGGTACTCGCCCCGGCTCCGTGGGTGTACTTAAGAAGAAAATAGTCCCATATCTTTTCTTCACATGGATTATTTTAGGCCAAAAGTCTATAGATTGATTTTTTTGCATCTTTTCTATGTTCTCTAACATGCAGACAAAACCCAACTTTCCCACCACACTTGTGAATATCTCATAAGAAATATCTGAAGTCTCCTGTTTTAAAGTGTATTGGTGTGTTTTCGTAAATATTTATACTTCTAGGTCGTGTTTGCTAGTGGCTGAAGAAGAAAGCATCACAGCAAATTTGAGGTATTTCACTGACTCCTAACCTTGCACGCTTGCACCTAATTTGTACTTTCTCTATCTCCAAACATAACGGCAAGAATTAGCGTTGAATTGTAAAAAATGAAATAAGTATCCATAATAAACTCAGCATTAATATAGCTGAGTGAAAAGTCAATGTCCGCTCTACTGACCTAAAGTATGTGTAACCATGACAAATCGATGTTTGTATTTTATTCATTTTAACTGCAGTCGATGACCTGACTTCAGCAAACACTTTCAGCGCTAGATTTAACGGATGCTTACGCTCAGTGAAGTTTAAGATAAACTAATTAAAGTAGAATAAGAAAGTACCGAATAAAATTATAATAGTTTGAATTAGCAACCGGGATTACGAATTGAGTAGTTGCAGCGCAAATGCTTTTAGCATCGTAAATCTTGCATCACTTCGTATTTGCATAGATAATATAATATGCATTAGGGTCTTCAAAATGTTTAATGAAAAAAACATGAAAAATTTTAAACAATAGATATTTGTCTGATCCTCACATAAAGTTATAAAAGACATTGATTCGTATATTTCTATAGAGAAAGATAGTTTAATTATATATTTATTAATAATTGGATCTGTATTTAAAATTAGATATTTTACAGTCTAATAAGGTACAAAGCGGTCTTACCGCTCAAGCAATCTCTTGGATTAACTTTGAATCTTACTTCGGGAAGTAAATTCTCTGGAAACAAACTTATATTAGCCGAATTTTCATAAAATTTGTTCCCAAGGATAATAATCGTAATACATATGGGGGACATAAAATTATATATAAATGCATAAACTGGAACGTCGAAAGAAAAACAGAGATGTGTGCGAGAAACACACGTGCAAAACAAAAAAAAAAAGAGTAGAGCGAGTAGAACTCTTGAATATAGAGTAAAATATGAAAAGAAATATAAACTTCTATCTCATATACATACCGCCACTATCCTGTCACCAGGCTGTATCCTGCCATCACTTAGTGCTGGTTCCCGCACTAGCGCGCGCACGTAATGCCCCAGCGCGCTATGATCTTCCTTCCGTAACGTGAATCCAAGCGAGCCGTTCACTTTTGTCATGACTATGTCAAATTCCTGCAATTAAATATTATTATATTAGCTTCTGTGAAGATCCATTGCCATACCAAGTTCCAAATAAATGAATATTTGCTGTAACTTTTAGGTGTAATATTTTTAGCGCATTTTTATTTCTTACTTACCACAGATCCGTCATTCTGAGGAGCGTAAACAAAAATATAATCAATCAGCAGTAATTATTCGTAAGTACATTGTAATATTGATACACGTCACTTTATGAAGTAGTTATAATATGTATAAGCATATTACATGTTATACTCAAACTTAACAATTTTTATAGAACAAACAAAGGATTTTAATTGTTTGGTACATTTGTATTTGTACGGATAATTAACAGATCTTAGAAATGATAGAGAATGTATGGTGGTTATCCATGAGAATAATAGTGTATTTGGGATATCTTTGGCGCCGTCCATGTTCATTGCCAATTGTTGAGTCATTTCCACCTAGTAAGTCGTCAACATTCTAGTTGTATTAAAAAATTCATCACTGTATTACTGTTTGTAGTTCTTATTAGGTCAATTTAGAAATTTGAAAATGTTTTGTTTTCGACGATATCCACATTTGCGTTCCAAGTTACTCCATTAACATCAATTATGAACATTTGTCGAAAACAAACAAGCTGTTTGGAGCTCTGATTAAGACATCCATTATTACGCATTCGGACTTATCCAGTTAATGTGTTTGTTGACATACGATATATTCAATTACAAATGTTATTTTCTAAGCGTGTTTACAAGACACTATTTTTTACAACTTTTTTTGGTGGGCCGTTATATTGGATGCATAATTAATAGGCACGAGAGTAGGCAATATAAGTTAGTATCTAATAGCAACTATAATATAGAGATGGGCTCATTAGTATAGCCACACCTGAACTGAAGTTTGATGGGCAGTTCGATGTTTTGTTTGTGGGAAAACAATACTGTTCGACTGATCGGGTCATTATGTTAATCATATATAATGTAATACTGCGCAATTAGACATAAGTAACGTAAAGCGAATTGTATTCATAATAATTGTTTTAAACATTAACATCTCGGCCTATATTTATGCACTGTTTGATATATGTTTTTCCAACTGCCTTTCATTGTGTGCAGGAATAGCTGCCAGATTTACATATATCATTTTGGGTGCTTTTCATTGGGAAGTTTCTGATCATAAATCACCATGCTTGGAAAGCGAGTTGGTGTTTGTAAAGTTTATCGGAAGTAATATAATATAAGACGGATTTAAAATGTTTTCATATAGGTTTGCGGTGAATGGAGTAGATGCCATGATAATATGTTTGGACGACTACGGCTGTGTTGTGCTTGATTTGTTACACGGATGTAAATAGTACGTCAATACTAATTCTTTTCTTTTCTGTTATTGATTTGATACATATTCTATTCTGGATATACTAATTTACTCACCCCATATTGCACGTCGTATACAGGAAGAGGTCTACCTAGATCCGGTAGTCGAAGGTCGCGCCGTTCTGCCTCCGGGCTCGCTTCTCTTCTCCCTCTACCTTCCGATGAGGAGGTTGTCGCGCTGCTGGTAGTTTGAGATAATCTATGGAAACAGTATATAATTAATAATTATATATATACAATTACACCATCCCTAGTTATTCAAAATATAATAAGATACTGACTATAGATGGATTATCCATAAAAAAATTAAATTTTAAATGCCAGTGTCTTTTTTTGTATGTCTGCTTGTTAATTTTGTCGATTAAACTTATTAATGGATATTAATGAAATTTGACACGAGAATAAATTGTAACCCGAGAACAGAGAGAGAGTACCTTTAGTCTAAAAAAGTAGACGAAATCGAGAGAAATTACTAATCTGAAATAAAGCCTTGTAAACTCATCAAAAATCAAACCAATCATAACCTTATTGCGTATATACAAAACTCTCCTCATATACGAGTAGTATCATTTTCGTCAATTATTTCTGATACCTTTTTGATTTCAGTTGAAAAGGGTAAAGCTTTTAATAAATGAAAGGTGCATGGTATGAACGAATGTTGGAATTTTGATACGGATTATTATATTGATAAAAATTTATATACCCAGCAAAGTGGAATATGTATGAATGAATCAGCGATTTTTCGCCATACTGCAGTTTTCTATTGAATGAAAAGTTTTTCAATAAATAATAGGAACAGTATCTTTTGATATCTTAAACCCTGAGAATTTCTGGAGACATTTACATGAGTATTTCTACAGTAGAGAGGATTATTTATTATTCTTGTACTATTTAAGTTACTTTATATACATAATTATCAATAAACTGCCATTATAATACTCTCTGCTAGTGAGATGCCCAGCGAAAATGTGTAACAAAAATTACGTTCGTTATCTATAAAAATAAATAAAGTTTTAGTGTCTGTTTTTAATTGCAAATTAACAGTTTTTCACTATATGCAAATGCGAGCATGTACTGCACTTATATAAAAAAATAATTCAATTTTTGTCTGTCGTTCGCAAGTCTCTGAAATAGTTGAATCTGATTTTGACGGGATATTCATTTGCAGTTAGCTAAAGTTATATGGTTTGACTTACAGTACATTTATTTTACTAATTTTAATTATTTAAAAAAAAATAGTATTCCAATTCAATATGTTAATAAAAAAAAGAACAGATCGTTACAGCTAGTTTTTAAATAAAAAAGTATTACTTTGGGTTAGATTTAAAGATCTCATAGACGTTACAGAATATGTAATTATCTAGCAAGGGTGGTAATTTTTTGCTATTTGGTTAACAAGCTTATTTAGTTTATAGTTTATTTATATATTAGTGTATGTATGTAAAGTACATGCATTCATGTTTCATGAATATTCTTTTCCATGGAGGGTGCGATTAGTTACACGGTCTCCTATTAACTGTTTCTGTATATGCGCTGAACTTGAATTTCTTGAAGTCTGTGTTGTCACGGATATAACATGATAGCGTGATGACCGTGGTGCTCTTCATGTATATAATGCAAAGGCCGTCAGTTTCGTCACCATTCAATTGAATAAAAAAACAACGAATATTTTCATGAAGGTTTGTTTACTTACCTGGCATGCATTGGATGGCAGTTGAGGGGGTCTAGCGGCGGCAAATTAGGGGGGTGCGGGGTGCGGGTGGGCGGTGTCGGTGGGTCGGGCGGTGTGACACTCTCTAATGTGTCCGGCGGTGGCCGGCATACCCGGAGTTCCACCCTCGCTGACGCTGTCCGCAGTACCTCTAGAGCTTCCTGTTGGTGCGTAAACCACTATTAAACTCTAAGGTCGGCCCATTAAAAGAACCATTTTAAGGAGCTTTATCGTTCTTCATTTGATTTCGTTTTGTATAAAATCTTAGAACATTTTTAAAATAAAAGAACTAAAACTCAAAGGCTTATAGGTTTGTGTCTAATTTGAACCTTTTTTTATAAGGGAAATGTTAATAACAAAACCGCCTGCCTTTATGAGAGAGTGCGGACGGATACTGTGGGACTTTTACGACCTAAAACACCTCGGTGTTCCTACACACCGCGATTAATACGCCGGACGTACGGGAGCGCTAGTATTCGTCCGCACATCTAATTTGAACCTAAAGGAAGAAGGGGATTGTTAGAAATATGTGTAATCCCATTGCTAGCAAAGTAGCATATCAGATTGACTTCCACGCGATTCCTCTGGAAACCTTTGTGGTAAATTGTTATTTGCCAAGATGGGCTAACTGACACTACCGTCCACTTTGTGCCTCGCCAGTGTAAACCATTAGCGTAGGCGGGTACATCGCGCATTCCATAATCATCCATAAAAATACCCAGATACTCCTGAGTAAAATCCGTCAACCATTTCAATCCAATCGAATTACATGCACTACTATTTAAACGATATCAAGACTGAATCAATCGATTACGACTGCGTTTAGTTCATTTAAATATGACACAATATGGAAATAATATTGCACAAGTGCAATTGCAAGCAATTCAATGTCATTTAATCGGAATTAGTTGCAAGTGGTAGAATATGGTAACTATCACTTATAGATATGAAGTATAGCTCTACACTTCATACATTTTATACTTCATATGATATACTTGAGGATGAAGATGTTTTGCCTCCGTATTCAATAATGTAGCAATTGGATCATACAGTTTGTACCATTGCCTACAATAATATAGATATACACACTGTAATCTTCCGTTGTGGTTTTGTCTCACCACTAGCATATAATATTAGCGCAGACGTGAGTACCATTCCATCACAAAAAAAAATATATGACATAGTTATTTGAATAACAGCTAAAACGCCAGCGTATTTCACGTTAGGTTTTAAATCGTTTTATGAATTTGCGATACTATGTATAACAAAAGAAAATTCATTAATTATAATGTGAATGAGGTCAGCGTTTCACAAAAGGGTATTTGTTGTGTCGCGGCGTACATCAGCTCGAATCAGTTTGAAACAGCGCACACCCCGCGGCGCCGTCGGACGGCAAAGAGAACATTATAAGGGGAAATAACTGAATTTCCGAAACGAAATTGAGTTAATGGCCCATTTATTTATTATAAATATTGAATCCCCGGACCGTTGGAAAGTGTTGTGTTGATAACATTATATAATTGATATTGCTGTGATTTATACCGGTCGCGTTGCAGTTTTATTGAGTTATTGTCTATACGGTAATTAACGACCTCGGTGGTCTAGCGGTTCAACACACCGGCTCACTACTGATATTCGCGGGTTCGATCCCCGCATAATATAGACATATATTCGTCAGTATATCTGTTTGCGTCTGAGAATTTCCTATGTACACAACAAAAAAATATATGCATTGTAACTTCAGTAGCCAAGCTTAGTATGGGACTAGTCAGCGCTAACGGATTTATAATGTATGCGACAGTGCAGTTTGGTCGCCGAATTGTATAAAGCTCGGATATAGCTTGAAAGCCTAGTGTTAACTCTAGGCTTCTAAGTTATATTTTATTCAATACCTGATGATGCGTTCAGGGGCGAAACATGCGTCGCAATATGGGTGTAGACTCAATAACGGTCGGAATTTGATCACCAATAAAGAAGGTCGTAACGCTTCCAGTAGCGGAGGTCAGGTTTACGCACATAGTATTTGTTGTCTCACACATGGTAATGGTAGCAGAATTAAACAGAATAATATAAATCTATTAAGCAATAAAACATATAATTTAATAAAATATTGGATTACTATTATTATTTACGCATTTCATTTCGAATTTTGAAAAATCTAACCAATATTATTATTATAATAAAAATAAAAGCGAAATATTGGTATGCTTTCTTATAATTTCAATCTATACTAAAATATAAAGAAAGTAAAAAAAGAGAATTGAAGAAGAGAACGCGCTAATCACATAAACTACCTTTTTGAATTGAATTATTTTAGTGATTAGTGATACTTGGGGTGTCCCAAGTATCGTAGAAGGCTATACATATAACACCATGGTACGTACTACATACTGCATACCAACTGGAAAGGAGTAATGTCAGTAAGATATTAGGCCTTCATTTAGTGTTTCAGATTGAGAACGATATACTTAGACTTTTAATTGTAGCCAATCGACGTGGACGAAGTTACAGACATAATGAAGCTAGATAAAAAATGGAGTCCTTGTTCTATTACATTATCATAATTCACTCTGTGTTAATTTATAGATATTTTTACTACGGTAAGATTAATGTTAATTATATAAAATTTACATCAAGCAAATTAGAAGACAAATTATGAATTAATTCTTTTATATTTCTATAATAACTTTTGCTTAATTATTAATATTGTTTTGTTTAATTCTAAATTTATTTTATCTTTATAGTATATACAAAATGAAGTCAATTCCGCTATCTGTTTACTTAGATCTTATAAATTACTAAGATTTTAATACAGTTTTATGCATGTACACCCGTGCGAAGTCGGGGCGGCTAATTAATAATATACGAAATAATATTTCCAAATTATTAAATACTGCTATAATTATTGCTCCTGCAATATCATCCAAGTAAAAGAGTGACTTAAATACTATCGGCAACAACAAGGTAAAAATTTATTAGACAAGTATTTAGACAAACTTTAAATCAATGTCTTCTTTATGCAAATATGACATATTAAAGTCTTATCAAGACTAATGGCGGTAAGCAATATAAAAAGTACGTGATAACGTACCCTGAGAGAATGCAAATTATCCCATGGCCTCTGCAAAAATGTTCATATCACATTGTTTTAGAAGGCGAAGTAATCTCATACAGCGCTTCCTATTAGTTTTATAAATTAGAATTACACTAAAATGATATTTTGTGACTTCAAAGTATAGAACTTTGTTCCTTGTTAACAACTTTATATTCAAATTAGTTTATACGCGTCCTTGCGTCCGCATGACTGGAGAAAATTGACGGTAGAAATTTGCAAAATATTAAACTTAATTGAATTTATAAAAATCAAATGATATATACAGTTGTCGTTTAATGACATATCTCTATTAACTAATGGTAATGGTAACTTTGGATACAAACAGAAAGCTATTGATCAGCAGCTGTGATAAAAAAGAGAAGTATAGTGTTTACCCAACTAATATTAAGACTCGCAATATTCCTTGATTACGAGAAGCATATAAACCTTAGTGATCAATAAAAGACTATTGTTATTTATGGCCGTACCTATAGTGGTAACGATGTACATCAATAATACGTCTATGGTTTAAACATATAACCGTTTGGCCCCACAATGTACAGTTTATTACATTTCGACCCGACCCTGACGCGTGCAATGTTGATGTTTTCATAAAATTTTTACGTTTATAACCTAGTCCCGGACCGTGGAAAGTGCTATGACAACAAACGGCATTTTTAACATGACTTAATGTTTATTTTCGTTAGTCACGACACGCTGTTTCACGATAAACTTGTAAAAGGTTGCGAGTTATAAAAGGGCGGGTGGGCTCGGAACTTCTTTCCCCAATTAAGAGGAAAGTCTATGTCTCTATAATGTGTAAGTATATATTACAACATCTAAATAAATAAAAATCAATTGCCGAAAGTATCTAAAGAAGCCACTTCAAGTACTATTTGTGATTTTTTTTCTGTTTTGTTTTTAATTGTCTCCATAAGGTAGTACATACACATTCTATTAAACGTTTAAACAAATATTCAGAACAGTGAAGAATTTGGTTTAAAATCCTATATAATGATGTTATCATCTATGCTTTTTTATAAGAAGTAATATACTATAAAATTTAATTAAAATATATATTAACACTGTTCTGTGTCTTGTCTTTAAGAATGGGAAATTTAAAAATTTCTTTTAAGTATTTAATCCATAATAGGGTTTTCTCATAGTAGGGATTGTTTTACATGTAGATCGATAAATCATTTATTTGCACTTTCACATATATAACAAAATAATACATGTAATAATAACCAATAAATATTATAGTATAACAAAATAATAACAAAGAAAAATCAAGTGAACGCCACAGTGTTAGTATCAGATAACACACAACGATTGTACGTTACTGGTTCTGTGTGCGGCAGTAGTGCAAATAGGCCATAGCTCAGTGAAGTTTTGTCCAAGAAATAAACACTGATTTTCAGCTATAGTCTGGAGTAAGTACGAGGTGCGCATTAGGTATAATCAAATTGATAACTTAATAATAGTTATGGTAACAAGGTTATCATATGTTTTGGTTTCTAAACCCACTCACGTAAGTACTAAGTCCAGCTAGAGGCACTCCATTAGCTGACAGGAGTAGATCCCTCGGTGCGAGGCGTCCCGTTCTCCACGCTGGTTGCGGTGGGTACAGTCTTCGTATCTTCACCAGGCCTCCGCCCCCGCACACTGACATACCCAAACCTCGTCCATCCTTCTCCACCACCACGGTAAATGTATTCTCTGCGGAATAAATGTAATTCATCATCATATAAGATTATCTTATTTTAAGAGCGAAAGGTAAATATATATATTGCTATATTTCACGTTTTAGAGGTAAAATGTATAATAATATTAGACAACTATTTTACTAAATTCATTAGTAATTAGACTAACGCCTCTTTAGTCTCTAGGTCATATTTTGGTTTTGTAAGTCATGGCTAAAATAATATAGATATAACTTTTACACCAGAATTACAATCTATTCAGAGAAACAGTCCTCTCCGGACTGTTAATAACAGGGAAACCATCGTAGCTAATTTCTGGTGAATTCGCCACTATGGGTTAACTGACCTAATTGCATCATTATTCAATGCACTAGAGCAGTGTACTGCCGGCATATACAATTAGAGCAGGCAAAGGCACCACATTCATCAATTAAAAAAAAACAAATTTACAATTCTGCTCGCCAAACGCTGCATTCAGTTTATGTTCGTCAAATAACAGAATATAAATAAATTATGAATGCATTTGCCATATTTCTTTCGTTGCTCTGAATGAAAAATCTCTTAATCCAAGTTACCTTTGTGTAGATGCCATTGTGACAAATAAGGAAAGCGAGAATCCTATCATGGCGATAAAACACAATGTAGCATTGCGACTATTTGAAAGCCAGTTTCATGCCAATTCTCCTTTGTTGTTCTTATTGCCAATAAATGCATAAAAGGAACGTGATGAGATTTACATATGGATATGTCTCTAGAGCGTAAACATAGAGCAAATAGCAGCTGTTACTTTTGTAAATGTTTTTATTCGATGGTTATAGTTAGAAAATTGTTCTATGTTCATCATAAATAAGATAATATCCATTTTGTGAATATGAAGGAATGACGTCAAAGATCTCAGTGGAATTGAAATTTAATACCTACACGCTCAATATAAACATTGGTATTTATGAGTAACTAAGTGTGCTTGTATTGGTTTATATAGGAATTTTCCTGTGTATTGACAAAAAAAATATATCCATTAGTTGTCTATTAATATATATATATATATATATAATGTATTTCATATTTATTAAAAAATATCGTATGCGATACAAAGACTGATGCGATTAGATCCAGACGCATTTATTGAGACTGTCCTACAACATTATTAGTAAATTCGAATCTAGTTGTACTGTTAAATTATAAAATTAAAAAGAATAAATTAATCTTCAATAAAATAAAATATATAACGAATTATAGCTAAGAACTATCTTGATCACGTCAGCTTTGAAATAAAAATAAAACGTATCAAAAGGGGCACATACATTTACAAACCACAAAAAGATACAGTCATACATATACACAGACAATTCGAATAAACAGTGACGGAATAGCCGAAACAATTTTGAAATGAATACACGCTATAAATGATCATCCTATAGTTTAATAGTATTATTAGCTTCTTCTGATAGAACATGGCAATCCCAGTGTCGCAGATTACAATATAACATATATAAGAATAACCCTAAACAATTTACACAACGTCGCCATATAGTGCCAAGCCAATTTAAGAGCTAATCTTGTGTTATCGGTACAAGACAACTGATATAAGTATATACTTTTTTGTAAATACTTAAACAACCAATGCAATCACAATTATGAATATAAATCTTTCTAAGAATCGAACCATCCAACTAACCGTAGGAAGAAAAGCGCTTTTTAAACCGCTAGACGAGGCCATCTATATTGTTTTTGAATTTATTTTTGAGTTATTGACAATATTTATTGGAGATCTTGCTAACATTACCGAAAAAAAAATTTATAAAAATTTATATAATTACAAGTTTAAATAAATAACAAGTTACATTTTACGTTACATTGTACGGAATCATACCCTGGAGTCCTATTTCTATTCGCACTTGACCTTTTTATAAGGAATTCACGTAACAGTACTTCAAAAGGATGGAAGAGATAATATAAACAGCTACAAACAACGGTCCCTCACTGAGGACACTAGTGTTACCGAAGATTCAGTTTAAGTACGGAAGCTTAAAAGGTTGTAACGTTAGCAATAAACTTGAGAAACGAATTTCGTGACAGCCGTAACGCTGTAACTGTTTTACAGCTTATTTACCGAGGGATGAGACAGCGGCCGAGAGAAACCATGCTGACCTATTTTAAATCCCCTTTTAGGTTAGAGGAGTGACGTGGTGTTCCATTTTGTTGAGGTTCTCTAAAATGTTTGTTAACTAATGGCGAATAGCTTCATACTGCATTAAACAGGTGCGATTTCTGGGGAAGTACACAACTACTTGTGAATAAATAAAGACGACGCTTTTAGGAATAGATGCAATACATTAGTGTCGTCAATCTTTGGTCAAAAAAAGAAAATATATTCAAAAAATTTCATGCCTTAGTATTTTAGCCTGCGCGTTGATAGTTCACTGTGAGTCCGAACCAGCATAGAGAGGATATTAGTATATTAATATTACATGAATACAGATTTACAGAAGATAATAAAATGAGCCCCAATTACTGTAGCCATTAATAAAAGAGGCATAAGATTACTCGCTACTGTTCTGTGCTCGCCAAATTAGCTGTGGCGAGTGTGTATCTAAAGGCTGAAAGGTTTTATGTAATTTTATTAGTCAGAACCTACCACAGATACACGAATAATTTCGTTAAGAAAAGGAAAACTATGATATTGAAGAAACGGTATATTTTTTCAGAAAAATCATAAATAAAAAAAATATTAATGCACCTTTTATATAGTAGTATTTAGGAATGTCACAGAAATTGTGTACTAATTTTAATATATTCTAACTCGGATTAACGGAACCAACTTTCCATGTCTTTAAATTGGTAACTGGATTTGTAGTTATGCAGTTTTTCAGAGTTATAGCAGTACATTATTCAGTTCATTATTAAAAAAAAATGTGGGTACAATATTTACAAATATGATATAAAGATATACGTAAAAATATATGTAGTTTAAGCCTATATTAATGTAGAACATTTTATTTCTGTGTCTTAAAACAAAGATAGAAGACAATCATAGAGATTTCCTGTTAAGTAATTGAATGTTATCTTCTTTTTGTGAATTTGCAGCACATTATTCGCATTGTTTGTCACAATTTTCTTTTTTTGGAATTTAATGAAATTATACGGAAAATTTGACAAAGAGCAGCAAATATGCGCGTTTGAGTTTAGATTGTTAAACAAATTAGAAAAAGTCAAACATGACGCTACTTGGTATGCTTACATATTATATTACAAGTAGATGTTACTATTACTTAAATACTACTGGATAAAAACTTAGTTAAGTCTATTTTGTAACAGTTTTCTTTGCAGAATAAACTTATTATTATAGTTTACCATTTTTGAGTTTTTGTCTAAACCTTCCGCCAATAATAATTTTCTTTTTATGTTAATTTCTTATAAATCAATGTTTTATAAAATTATATGTTCTATAAAAGCCCTATTTTATGCCAATGCCTATTTAACATGATATTTATCTTTGTCATCGTTATCTATAGCAATTTTTTTAGTTCTCTACATTTAAGAACTCACGTATAAGCTATCAGTCTTTGCGTTGTTGTTTTATAGAATAGGTAAAGTAACAATGAAATCCCTGGCCTTAGTTACTAAGGGATGAATTATTTTAAGGGTATCTATAGAGTATAAAGAGGGGTCGAAATATCATTTATAATTAATATTCTGTTTCAATATTGCAAATGGAAGGTAGACAAGTGTCGATTCACGGTCAATTTAGTCGTTTTAGTCCAGTAACGGACCTCGGTGGGTGTCTGAACATGAATTATACATTAAGGGGGTCTATAGCAGTCATTTCGCCTCTGAATTACCTATCATTTGATTCCATTTGGTATTTCCGAATCTTGTGTATATTCTGCTTTGTAGATTTGTTTAGTCAAAGATTATTTTAATATTGATACTTAAAGTACTTTGTAACCTTTGTAGTTGAATGTATATTGTTCGTTGTGGCTCGTTGTATCTCTAAATAAGTCTGATTGCTTCAAAAGGATTGTAAGGATTACGAACTTTTGATTGATTCAGGAGTTAGAAATTATTTTGTACATAATTAATTGAAATTACGGCTGACAGAATAAATCCTATCTACATATATAATATATGATAATATTTTCAAATGTCTTAAGTATTATTAAGAAACGAGTTGGTATACTTTAAACGAAGAAAATCGTAGTTAATATACAACGTTTATTTTTATATAAACGTACAGTCACTGTATCACAACGGATACAACTACAATATTACACAATCAACACTAATCTGGTTCACGAATTTCTCCGATATTGTGTTTTAACACTGTCTACACACTATGACCGCTAACCGTTGAATGTAGAATTGTAGTACAGAATGACTATTGCCTAAGAATGACGATAGATGGCGTGCTAAAGTAACGCCATTTTTCCAATCCAATTTTTCATTGAAGACATCTGATCTACAATAGAACAATACCAGATTGCCTTAAAAATGAAAAATGATTGAAATATGACTTGAAGGCTAGAGCCTTAACGCGGATTTTCCATTGTTCATTATTTGTTCGGTTAATATAGTACTGTACTAGATGTGCAATATTAAAAAATTAAAAACAAAATAATTATTTCCATTATTAAAGACTATTAAATCTACCCGCATAATAAGAGATCTAATATATGCAAGTACGATTAAAACTTTACCATAATAGCATTGGTAATAAACCGCTTGAGAGAACAATAGCACTAGCTGACCACTATTGAAGAACTTTGCGGGCGTCATCAGTTGAATACTCTAGTTCATAGTTTATATGTTGTCTAACGTAACAACATCCCGGTTGTGCAGTAGAATGTTATATACATAGTTCTCGTACATACATACATTTCTGTTCAAAAGTTAAGACTAGAGAGAGCGAATGTTCATAATTATTCATAGTATTGTATGTAATATATACAAAAAATTCTTTTATCTTAAGTACCAACTACTAGACAGACGGCAACATTAAGTTTTATATTGTGTAGT